AACGCCGACGAATCGCGGATGACAACGAATGAAGAGTACGAAGACGTTGGGGATGTATAACAGGGTCTTCGAAAAGTCTGGAAACGCTGAAATATCTCGAAAATCACGATCTCTACTCTAGTAAAAAAAAAATAATATAAAAGCAAAGTTGTAGGACTTCAAAAAGATCTACGTAACTGATGATAAAGAGGTTGAGATTGGGTGGAGTCTGCATGGTCATATGAAGGTCAAGTTGAATTTTTGCAACAGGAACCCCCTCTTTTTATCACACAGTCTTACAGCTTATTTCAAGAGCTTCTCGAAATGCTATAATAAAATGTTTTTTCATCAAGTACTTTTCAAATATATAATTATAAGGCTTGAAAATTACAGTATCGCCGGTATTAGCTAAAACCTCTTGAATATTGTTCAGAATCCATGTCCTGGATAACATTTCTCAAAATCAAGGCCATTGGAGATTATTCCTCTTAATTTCATTTTTGTACTAAAAATTCATTGTTGGGTAAAAATAAAAATTAAAAGTAATAACCTCCATTGACAAATGTTATCCAGAACATGATCCTGAACGACATTCCTCAAGCCTTATAACTCGAAAAGTATTTCATGAAAAATTATTTTATTATAGTGTTTTGGAAAGCTCTCGAGGTGTGCTATAAGAATATACAATGAAAAATAGGGAGTTCCATTTAAAAAATTCAACTTGACCTTCATGTGATCTTGCAGACTCCATCCAAGATCAACCTCTTATCATCAGTTAGATTTCTTGAAGTCCTACAACTTTGCGTTTATATATTTTTCGCTAGAGTTGATCGTTTTCAAAATATTTTAGCATTTCCAGACTTTTTGAAGACCCTGTATAACGACGGCTGCATCGACTTTTTCTCGATTATTACTCTGTCGTGTAAGAATTAATTTAAAACCGTGAATGTCATTAAACGTCGGGTTTATATGCGTGTTAACTCGGGAAGTTATCTGGAATGTTTTTATACCCCAGCGGCGATAAAATGTGAATTATTGTAAAATGAATATTTTCTTTCTTTTTAGATAAATTATCTTTTATTTTTGATAACTGTTGTTTACGAACCTTTAAATAAATTCCATCGAAAGCCCGCAATAAAAACACATTATATTAATTAAAATAGTTTTGTTACATAATAAACTGTTTAACGTGTAGTTTATTTAATTATATTTACTTTGGTTTCTATTTATTTATTTTTTTTTCCAGAAAAGTTGTGAGTAAATCCATATCCATATTTTTTTTTTAAATGCCAATAAATTGGAAAACAATTAAAAATATACAATATATTGTAAATAATAGTGATTTTAATTGGAATGTAGAAATAGGATCGTTTACAGGATCGATAAGAAGAAATGAGATAATAATTTCGGTTAAATAAATTACAATTAAAAATTTTATATTAGATAAAGGATTTATATTATAGTTAAAACGTATGATAAATGAGTTATTTTCATTCATACTCTTTGCACTTATTTGTCATGTTACCCATATCTTTATGCAATAAATTATTATTATTTTAAAGAACTGTCAAAAAGTTATATTTTTAATTTAATTATATATATTTATACAGTTAGTTATAGAATATAATAGAATAACCTACGTTTGAATCATATCAAAATATAGTAAACGTCAGTTGCATGCATGATGATATACATAGATGACAAATACAGATTCGATAAAAGTTTCGTTCCCGACAAATTCGATTCATTCGTTATATTTGTAATAGAAAACATCTTCGTGTAAAAGAATCGTTACTATGTGCGACTTCTGTTTCTCTCTCCTTTTGCTCGTAACCGAGCGTGGAGATGTGTTTCCCATCTCTTATATTTCTTCTTTGTTCGTATATATACGAAAAATAATAAGAAAAAGAATAAAACAATCTTCAGAAGAAGATACATACGTATGTATTTTATTATTTTCCTAGAAATTAATAAAGATTGTAGGAATAAGAAGGCTGTCTATTAATCATGGGGCCTACAGTTTAACGCCGGGATCCGAACGGCGCTGGTGATCGAAGATCTCTTAGGAGCTACGCAATGAAAGGATCAATAGGGAACTCAAC